CTGACTCTCTTGCCCAGGCTGGAGTGCAGTGGTGCAATCTTGGCTCATTGCAACCTCTGCCTCCTAGGTTCAAGTGATTCTCATGTCTTAGCTTCTCAAGCAGCCAGGATTACAGGCATGTATCACTACATCTGGCTAATTTTTGTATTTTTAGTAGAGACGGGATTTTGCCTTGTTGGCCAGGATGGCCTTGAATCCTGGCCTCAAGTGATCTGCCCGCCTTGACCTCCCAAAGTGCTGGTATTACAGGCACGAGCCACTGTGCCTGGCCACAGAATGCATCCTTTATAGCAGAATGACAAGCAGGGATTAGCCTGACCAACAGAGGAAGTCTAGGGGAAAGGAGAAATAACACAGTGTGAGAGGATCCAGAAATTAGAGGGTCTTGACAGCCAGGCAGAAGAATTTGGCTTCAGTGCAGTAGGGGCCATTATGGATTCCTGAGCATAAGAGGAACATGATGGCAATGAGAACCGGGCAAAGATGTTCTCACTTAAACCTCTTTTTCTCCTCCCTTAGCCCTTCCTGTTCTCCAAGTTCCTTCCCTTCCCCTGAAGGACAGCCAGGAGCTGACAGCTTCACTTCTCTCAACTGGGTCCCAGGTGAGCTGGTGCCCCTTTGCCCTCAGAGAGGACCCATCCTGAACCTTCACCAGGAGTTCAGTTTCTTTAGCCAGTGACCAGGCCCATCTTGGGTTGGTACCTTCATTCCTTTGGCCTTTTTCCTTTCTGCCTAGTCCTTCCCCATCCTCTTTGAGGCACAGTTCCTCCTTGTTTCTTTTCTTAATGAGCCCAGTTCTTCCCCTCACTCCAAATTTGGATATAGGGAATGAGAATTTAGTGGAGATCTCCTGTTTCAGAAGTTGGTGAAAATTGAAGAGGTGGCTGATGTGGCTGTATCCTTCATCCTGGAGGAATGGGGACATTTGGACCAGTCCCAGAAGTCCCTTTATAGGGATGACAGGAAGGAGAACTATGGGAGTATTACTTCCATGGGTAAGGATTATTTCATCTGCATGGATTAGGACATCTTTATTTTGTTATATTATAAAGAGTATTTCTAGCACACCCTATAATGGCATTTATGTTTTATGTGCTATGACTTTGCTTTTTTTTTTCTTTTTGTAAAAGAATAAATCAACCTTCACTTTCTTATTCAGCTTATTCTGATCATTTCCATCTTAAGAGTATGATTAGACACTGATAGTACCTGGGGGGACTGTTTTTGCAATCCAGCAAATGCTAACTTTTTACTACTTTAAAATAAGAGCGGGCCGGCTGTGGTGGCTCATGCCTGTAATCCCAGTATTTTGGAAGGTCGAGGCGGGTGGATCACCTGAGGTCAGGAGTTTAAGACCAGTCTGGCCAACATGGTGAAACCCCATCGCTACTACAAATACAAAAATCAGCCGGGCGCAGTGGCGGGTGTCTGTGATCCCAGCTACTCAGGAGGACTTCATTACCATTCTAAGTCACCGATACCTGTTTTATGATGTTCGCCTTGGCACCTACATTTTACGTGTCATATCGCTTCTTGAATTTTGTGGCCCTATTTCTAACTAAGTTATAATCCTGGAAGCTAATATTTAATTGTACTGTCTGGAGCAGTTATAAAAATCTCAGCACTCCTGCAAACATTTTGGAGATTATAGCTTTTAGTCTTTTTTTTGTAAATTCTTTTAGAAGAACCACTCTATCAGGCATACTGGAAGACTTCAGATGCAAACATACACACTGCAAAATATATTTATTTTATTTTTTTATTTTTTTGAGATAGAGTCTCGCTCTGTCTCCCAGGCTGGAGTGCAATGGTGTGATCTCGACTCCCTGCAACCTCTGCCTCCTGGTTTCAAGCAATTCTTCTGCCTCAGCCTCCTGAATAGCTGGGGTTACAGGCGTGCGCCACCATGCCCGGCTAATTTTTGTATTTTTAGTAGAGGCAGGGTTTCACCATATTGGCCAGGCTGGTCTCAAACTCCTGACCTCGTGATCTTCCCAGCTTGGCCTCCCAAAGTGCTGGGATTAACAGGCGTGAGCCACCATGCCCAGCCCACAATGCAAAATTTCTTTTGAAAAGCACTGTGTCAGTTTACATTGTTTAACCATTTCAGTTTGCTTACAGGCTTTTATTTAACAGGTATAGAGCTGACTCCTGCTCTTTTAAAATTTCCGTATTTATTTGTATTTATTTCCTTTTTTGATTTATTTGTGCATGCCTCTGTTCATTAATCTATTGGGATCTTGGTAGTCTTTTTTTATTTTGATGTTTGAATTTTTGTGGAAAAAAGTCAAATTTATGTTTTAAAATTATTGATTAAATCAATAATTTTATTATTGATTTTTCATGGAGCCTTTTATCTCAGTGAATTACTCATATAGTATAAATGTTATATTTAATGCAAATTTAGAAAATTTTTCTTCTTTTTAAATTAATTACCAATAGCTTGCTCGTTTATTTGAGCCTGTTACTCTTGCTTTATCTTTTTCAGTTACTTTACAGGTACCTAATGGATTTCAGAGTTTGAGGTTCTTGGCATAGTTCTTTTCTGTGGTATTCTCTAAGCAGTTTTAAATGTGTAGTTTCTGATGTTTTTCTCATTCTCTGTCTCTTCATTACAACATCTGTATTTATCACTTCAGTACACTATTCTACATTAATCACATGGCCGTGGTTTCTCCCTCCTTCACTTCTCTTGGAAGGCCATATTAGATTATTTTCACATCTGCGGATTTCTATTAATTACAGCATCACCAAAAGTCAAAATTAAAGAAAGTACTCATCAGATTTAGAAGTGAGATTTTTACAACGTAAGTAAATGAGTCTTGGAGGCAGCAGTTTCTGTGGAGCGGCAGGGGTGTTGGGGAACAAGAGACAGTTTCTTTGAAGATTGCGAAGGAGTGGAATTTGAAAAAGCTATCATAGATGAATGTAAGGACTTTGTCTCTGAAGGGAAAATGAGGCCTGGTCACTGAAAGAATAATGGGTTGGATGGGTGGATTGTTTTTTGTTTCTCTTTTTTTTTTTTTTCCCGACAGATCTCGCTCTGTTACCTAGGCGAGAATGCCGTGGTACGATCTCGGCTCACTGCAACCTCTGTCTCCCGGGTTCAAGCTATTCTCGCGCCTCAGCCTCCCGAGTAGCTGGGATTACAGGCACCCTCCACCACACCTGCCTACTTTTTGTATTTTTAGTAGAGGTGAGGTTTCACCACGTTGGCCAAGCTAGTCTCAAACTCCTGACCTCAGGTGATCCAACCGCCTCGACCTTCCAAAGTGCTGGGATTACAGGCGTGAGCCACCACGCCTGGCCTGTATGTTTTTTTAATGGGAGAAATTTTCAGCATATTTAAATGCTACTGGAGAAGAACTAGTAGAGTAAAATATGGAAGCAAGGAGGAGCAGATAGGCTGCGCGTGGTGTCTCATGCCTGTAATCCCAGCACTTTGGGAGGCTGAGGCAGGCAGATCACAAGGTCAGGAGTTTGATATCAGCCTGACCAACATGGCAAAACCCTGTCTCTACTGAAAATACAAAAATTATCCAGGCATGGTGGCACACACCTGTACTCTCAGTTACTTAGGAGCTGAGGCAGGAAAATTGCTTGAATCCGGGAGGTGGAGGTTGCAGTGAGCTGAGATCACACGATTGCGTTCCAGCCTAGGTGACAATGTGAGACCCTGTCTCAAAAAAAAGAAAAAAAAGTGGAGGGGCAGTTAGGTGATGTGGAGAGATCCCTGGAAAGCAGGAAGGTATGGTGAGATCTGGGGTACAGGAAGGAGGAAGGACTGACCTTGACTCGAGAGACATGACTCCATAGAGAGACAAGGGGAGGAGGAAGTGAGCACGCTGTCCTGTTGAGCACAGGAACTCATGCCTGTAATCTCAGCACTTTGGGAGGCCAAGGAAGGAGGATCACTTGAGGCCAGGAGTTCAGGACCAGCCTGGGCAACGTAGTGAGACAAACCCTTACAAAATATACAAAAATTAGCCAGGCGTGGTGGTGCACACCTGTAGAGGCTGAGGTGGGAGGACTGCTTCAACCAGGGAGTTAGAAGTAACAGTAAGCTGTGATTGTGCTGCTGTGTTCCAGCCTAGGTGACAGAGCTTGCTCTGTCTGTGCAAACCTTATTAAACATCAGTGTTTTGAGTAAAGTATCTTGCTGATACAGTTGCACAAAGGAACTAATTTTAGCCACTGAAACACCCACGTTTATCAGTGACTGCTGAACGTTAACCTAGCTCTTGGAAGTAGTAGGTTCTCTGGATATGGAAAGAATGTCTTTTTTCCTTTAGATTAATTCGTACCAAGCTGAAGTCCTGTGGGCACTGAGAAACCTAGAAAGATCACCTTTCTTCTCAGGCTATGAATTCACAGGAAGAGGAAGGTGAAGATGGAGTTAGCTGCATAACCTGCTATCCAATTTTATTAAGAATATTGCCCAGTTGCGACCGGGTGCGGTGGCTCACGTCTGTAATCCCAGCACTTTGGGAGGCCGAGGTGGGCGGATCAGTGGGTCAGTAGTTTGAGACCATCCTGGCCAATATGGCAAAACCCTGTCTCTACTAAAATTACTAAAATTAGCCGGGCGTAGTGACTTGCGCCTGTAGTGCCAGCGACTCGGGAGGCTGAGGCAAAAGAATCGCTTGAACCTGGAGCTGCACTCCAGCTGGGGCAGCAGAGCGAGACTCCATCTCAAAAAAAAAAGAAAAAAGAAAAATTAAAAAGAATATTGCCCAGTCACGTTGGCTCACGTCTGTAATCCCAGCCCTTTGAAAGGAGGCTGAGGTGGGAGGATCACTTGAGCTCAGGAGTTTGAAACCAGCATGGGCAACATAATGAGACCCTCATCTCCACAAAAAATACAAAAATTAGCTGGGCATGGTGGTGTGTACCTGTAGTCCTAGCTACCCGGGAGGCTGAGGTGGGAGGATCGCTTGAGCCCAAGAGGTTGAGGATGCAGTGAGCCATGATTGCCCCACTGCACTCCAGCCTGGGTGACAGAGTGAGACCCTGTCTCAAAACACACACGCGCGTGCACACACATGAGAACATTTAACATGATACAGGTATTTGCAAGTGCCATACTGAGAGGAGACCCTCTTCGTTCAGTGGAATGACTGATTTCCAGTCTCCTTCCTTTGAACCTTCTTTGCCAGCTCTTCCTTCCCTAACCTCCTCCACTTTTCTGCTTGAATATTTTTCATCCCATCCGGGTACTGTAAAAGTCCCTTTACAAAATCATGGATCCCTAGCACTTGTCAGTTTCACTTCATTGTCCCCTCATTTTATTTCTTCAAATTCAAGGAAGAGCTCATTTTTTCATTCTCCCTCTGTTATTTCAGGTTATGAGTCCAGGGACAATATGGAGCTCATAGTGAAGCAGATTTCTGATGACGCTGAATCACACTGGGTGGCGCCAGAACACACCGAAAGGAGCGTTCCCCAGGATCCAGACTTTGCAGAAGTCAGTGACCTTAAGGGCATGGTACAAAGGTGGCAGGTCAACCCCACCGTGGGGAAATCAAGGCAGAATCCTTCCCAGAAAAGGAATCCGGACGCGATCACAGACCTCAGCCCTAAGCAAAGCACACATGGCGAGAGAGGGCACAGATGCAGCGATTGTGGCAAATTCTTCCTCCAAGCCTCAAACTTTATTCAGCATCGGCGCATCCACACTGGAGAAAAACCGTTTAAGTGCGGAGAATGTGGGAAGAGCTATAATCAGCGGGTGCACCTCACCCAGCACCAGCGGGTCCACACGGGGGAGAAACCCTACAAATGTGAGGTGTGCGGAAAGGCTTTCCGGGTGAGTTCCCACCTGGTTCAGCACCACAGTGTCCACAGCGGAGAGAGGCCTTACGGCTGCAATGAGTGCGGGAAGAACTTCGGTCGCCATTCGCATCTGATCGAACACCTAAAACGCCACTTCAGGGAGAAATCCCAGAGATGTACGTGTGAAGAGTTTATATCCAGGGGATAAATGGAGGCAAAAAGCAAAAGGTGTTTTATTAGTGCAGTACAGCAGGATAGATGCGTGGTGATACTGGGAGGGGTAGGCCGAGGCAAAGGTTATCGTTTGTTTGGTTCTTATTTATTTATTTTTTGAGACAATCTCACTCTGTCACCCAGGCTGGAGTGCAGTGGAGCGATCTCGGCTCACTGCAACTTCCGCCTCCTCGGTTCAAGCGATTCTCCTGCCTCAGCCTCCCAAGTAGCTGGGACTACAGGCACGCACCAGCACGCCCGGGTAATTTTTGTGTTTTCCGTAGAGACAGGGTTTCCCCACGTTGGCCAGGCTGGTTTTGAACTTCTGACCTCAGGCGATCCACCCGCCTTGGCCTCCCAAAGTGCTGGGATTACAGGCGTGAGCCACCGTGCTGGCTGTGCTCTCAGCTCTTAGTGGTTCCTTCTGGTAGTTCCGCATTTTAAAATACTACTACTATTATAAGTTGGCTCATCAATTTTAGATGTTATCCATTGACTTTCTATGGTAGTGAGGATTTGGCTCTCTTATATACTTTTCTCTCTTTCCCCCATTACTTTACTTATTTTAAAACAATAGCCTGGGTATAGTGGCTCACACCTGTAATCTCAGTGCTTTGTGAGGCGGCTGAACTGGGAGGATTACTGGAGGCCAGGCGTTCAAGACCACCCTGGGCAACATAGCAAGACCTTTTCTCTACAAAAAAATTTAAAAATTACCTGGGCATGGTGGCACGTGCCTGTAGTTCCAGCTCCCCAGAAGGCTGAGGCGGGAGGATCTCTTAGCCCAGGAGTTCAAGACTACAGTGAGCTATAATTGTGCCTGTGAATAGCCACTGCACTCCAGCCTGGCCAACAGAGCGAGACTTCTTCTCAAACAACAAACAAACACAAACCCAATAAAATAACAGTAGTACAGGAAGCTTGGAGAAAATAAAAAGAAAAAAATAAATCACCCGTAATCATATCATGCTAACTAATAGAACTGTTATTACTTAGAATGTTTCCTTTGTTTTTTCATAAGTCTGTTTTACGTAGTCATACTCAGAATTAAATGTTAAGCATACACATTTTCCAGTGCTGTTCAGCCCTCCTGCTTATTTCTGACAGGCTGCCATTGTGTGGTGGCATTGTAATTTCCTCAACTGTTCCCAGTTGCTGAACTTCAGATTTTTTCTCTTTTCTCCTGATAACTGTTTATGCCCGTGGCTTTTTCTTTTTTTCTTTTCTTTTCCTTTTTTGAGATGGAGTTTCACTCTTGTTGCCCAGGCTGTAGTGCAATGGCAGGATCTCAGCTCACTGCAACCTCTGCCTCCCAAGTTCAAGCGATTCTCGTGCCTCAGCCTCCCGAGTGGCTGAGATTACAGGCATGTGCCACCATACCTGGCTAATTTTTCTGGTATTTTTAGTAGACGGGGTTTCACTGTGTTGGCCAGGATGGTCTTGAACTCCTGACCTCAAGTGAGCCACCATGCCTGGCCAGTATTTTTAAACATCTGTTCAAGTGACAGTGAATGAGATCATCGTAAACTGTGCTGTGAACTTAAAGGCCCTTACTAATATTCTTCAGACGATTCTAAGACCAGCCAAAGTGCTTTTCTTTTTTTTTTTTTAAATTCTGCCTTTGATGGTTACAGCCACGCTGCATCTTCCACCATGGTATAGAAGTCAGTAAAGTGTCTTTAAAGTTCTGGGTTGAGCTGAGCTATCCTCTCAGCTAGTGTTTTCCCATTCTACTTGATGATTCCCTCATTTGGGAAATACACCAATAGTGCTTTGGACTTGAAAAGCAATCGCTTTAAAAGTTATCTGTTGTTTTATACCTTCCCTGCAATTGTTTCTATGGCTAGTTTCCCAGTGAGTACTCACTTGCCTCCCCCAATTTTTGTTTCTTGGGTTTTTTTTTTTTTTTTTTTTTTTTTTTTTGAGATAGGGTCTTGCTCTGTCACACAGGGTGGGGTAAAGTATCAGGATCTCAGCTCACTGCAGCCTCCACTTCCTGGGCTGAACTAATCCTCCCACCTCAGCTTCCTGCATAGCTGGGACTACAAGTGTTCACCACCACACCCAGCTAATTTTTGTATTTTTTTTGTAGAGAAGGGGTCTGACTCTGTTGCCCAGGCTGGTCTCGAACTTCTAGGCTTAAACGATCCTCCAGCCTTGGCCTCCCCAAGTGCTCGGATTTATAGGTGTAAGCCACCATGCCTGGTCCTCCCTCATTTTTTGGATCAAAGGGGGAATACATGTTTTGCACATCCAGCCATATTATTGAGAGTCTCTGTTGCTAGTTGCACAGGATCTGCAGTGAGCAGAACAGAGATACAGTCCATGCCCTCATGGAGTTGATGGTCTGGTGGGGGTAGGAGATAGTAAAGGTGATGAGCGTTCCCAAAGGAGAAGGATGACGTGCCGGGGGAGGAAAACTGAGGCTAGAATGTTGGCTAAGGGTGAAGGGGGCAGGGATTGCTGTATCGCCCACCCTCTTGACAATGCTTCTGTTGGCTCATTTTGCCTTATTTCCTGACTCCTAGTCAGATATTCCCTGACTCCAAACCCTCTTCATCATCCTTTGCTCCCATTCTTCCAGTTTTTGTCAGTTGTCACCATCCAGTTGTGTATTTGTTTTTTGTTTTTCTTTTTTGAGATGGAGTCTTGCTGTGTCACCCAGGTTGGAGAGCAGTGACACGATCTCGACTCACTGCAGCTTTTGCCTCCCGGGTTCAGGCGATTCTCCTCCCTCAGCCTCCCGAGTAGCTGGGACTACAGGCACCTACCACCATCTCTTGCTAATTTTTGTATGTTAGTAGAGACAAGGTTTTACCATGTTGGTCAGGCTGGTCTTGAACTCCTGACCTCAGGTGATCCACCTGCCTCAGCCTCCCAAAATGCTGGGATTACAAGCACGAGTCACCACACCCAGCCTGCTACATTTTCTTTATCAATTCATTGCTCGACGGGCACTTAGATTGGTTCCATATCTTTGCAGTTGTGAATTGTGCCACAGAAGACATACGCTTACAGTCTTTTTGGTGTATTGCCTTTTCCTTTGTGTAGATATACCCAGTAGTGGAATTGCTGGATCAACTGGCAGATCTACTTCTGGTTCTTTAAGAAATCTCCATACTGTTATCCACAGAAGTTGTATTAATTTATCTCTCACCAGCAGTGTATAAGCATTCCCTTTTCACCACATCCATACCAACATCTATTGTTTTTTGACTTTTTTTGAGACAGAGTCTCGCTCTGTTGCCCAGGCTGGAGTGCAGTGGCACAATCTTGGCTCACTGCAGCCTCCGCCTCCTGGGTTCAAGCAGTTCTCTGCCTCAGCCTCTGGAGTAGCTGTGATTACAGGGCACCCACCACCATGCCCAGCTGATTTTTGTATTTTTAGTAGAAATGGGGTTTCACCATCTTGGCCAGGCTGGTCTTGAACTTCTGACCTCGTGATCCACCCACCTCAGCTTCCCAAAATGCTGGGATTACAGGCGTGAGCTACCTGTACCCGGCCTTTTTTTTTTTTTTTGAGATGGAATCTTGCTCTGTTGCCCAGACTGGCATGCAATGGCGTAGTCTTGGCTTACTACAACCTCCGCCTCCTGGGTTCAAGCGATTCTCCTGCCTCAGCCTCCCGAGTAGCTGGGATTACAGGCACCTGCCACCATGCCCAGCTAATTTTTGTATTTTTAGTAGAGATGGGGTTGCACCATGTTGGCCAGGCTGGTCTCGAACTTCTGACCTCAGGTGATCCACCTGCCTCGGCCTCCCAGAGTGCCGGGATTACAGGTGTGAGCCACTGTGCCCGGCCTTTTGACTTCTTAATAATGGCCATTCTTGCAGGAGTAAGGCAGTATCTTACTGTGGCTTTAATTTGCACCTCCCTGATTATTAGTGATGTTGAGCATTTTTGTCATGTTTGTTGGTTATTTGTATATATTATTTTGAGAAATGTCTCCATGTCATTTGCCTACTTTTTGATGGGATTTTTTTTTTTCTTGTTGACTTGTTTGAGTTACTTGTAGATTTTGGATATTAGTCCTTTGTGTGATGCATAGTTTGTAAATATTTTCTGCCGTCCCGTGGCTGTATCTTGCTCTTTTCATCGGAAAATTCCAAAAATTTTTTGTTTACGTTCCTGTTGGCATCAAGTACACACATGCGTCCAGCTCTGTTACTCCTGTTACATCATAGTTTCATCTGATGATCATTTTTTATGACAGTTTATTTTTCCTTTATAAAAGAACTGATGGGCTGCGCATGGTGGCTTAAACCTGTAATCCCAGTACTTTGGGAGGTTGAGGCGGGTGGATCACCCAAGGTCAGGAGTTTGAGACCAGCCTGGCCAACATGGTGAAACCCCGTCTCTACTAAACATACAAAAATTAGCTGGGTATGCCCATGCATGCCTGTAGTCTCAGCTACTCAGGAGGCTGAGTCAGGAGAATCGCTTGAACCCAGGAGGCCGAGGTTGCAGTGAGCCAAGATCACGTCACTGTACTCTAGCCTGGGCGACAAAGCAAGACCCCATCTCAAAAAAAAAAAAAAAAACTGATGACATTTGCACTTGCTCTTTATTTTTTTTAGGCAGTGACAAAAGAAGTAAGAACACAAAATTAAGTGTTAAGAAGAAAATTTCAGAATATTCAGAAGCAGACATGGAACTATCTGGAAAAACCCAAAGAAATGTTTCTCAAGTTCAAGATTTTGGGGAAGGCTATGAGCTTCAAAGCAAGCTGGATAGAAAGCAGGGAATTCCCATGAAAGAGATAGTAGGACAACCCTCTTCAAAGAGGATGAACTACAGTGAAGTCCCTTATGTCCACAAAAAATCCTCCACTGGAGAGAGACCACATAAATGTAACGAGTGTGGGAAAAGCTTCATTCAGAGTGCACATCTTATTCAACATCAAAGAATACACACTGGGGAGAAACCATTCAGGTGTGAGGAATGTGGGAAAAGCTACAACCAACGCGTGCACCTAACTCAGCATCAGCGCGTCCACACAGGTGAGAAGCCCTACACCTGTCCTTTATGTGGGAAAGCCTTCAGAGTGAGGTCCCACCTTGTTCAGCATCAGAGTGTGCACAGTGGGGAGAGACCCTTCAAGTGTAACGAATGTGGGAAAGGCTTTGGGAGGCGTTCCCACCTGGCTGGACATCTGCGACTCCACTCCCGAGAGAAAGCCCACCAGTGCCGTGAATGTGGGGAAATCTTTTTTCAGTACGTTAGTCTAATTGAACATCAGGTGCTCCACATGGGTCAGAAAAATGAAAAACATGGCGTCTGTGAGGAAGCGTATAGTTGGAACTTGACAGTGATTGAAGACAAGAAGATTGAGTTACAAGAGCAGCCTTATCAGTGTGATATCTGTGGAAAAGCCTTTGGTTACAGTTCAGACCTCATTCAGCATTACAGAACTCATACGGCAGAGAAGCCCTATCAATGTGATACATGTAGAGAAAATGTTGGCCAGTGTTCCCACACCAAACAACATCAAAAAATCTACTCGAGCACAAAATCCCATCAATGTCATGAATGTGGCAGAGGCTTCACTCTAAAGTCACATCTTAATCAACATCAGAGAATCCATACTGGTGAGAAACCTTTTCAATGTAAAGAATGTGGAATGAATTTCAGCTGGAGTTGTAGCCTCTTTAAACACCTGAGAAGCCATGAGAGGACAGATCCCATAAATACCTTAAGTGTAGAGGGGTCTCTGTTGTAGAATAGCTCTGAATTTTAGAGAAGCCTTCCTGGAGGGAAACCGTACTCCTATAATGAGCAAAGTAACAACTTCAAGCATTTTTCCAGCGTAACCATCAAAATCACAAATAGGTTGAAATCCTTTAGTTAGAACTCAGCCTTTAGGAACACCGGAGAACCCACAATAATAGATATCTGCCCGTGTTCCCCACTGAGAAATGCTTTAGTTAGCATCTTCATGCTTGGGAATCTAGACAAGAAGAGAATCCATGGATGGACATGGTCGAGGAATTCAGAAAGCCTTCAGATGACATTCAGTCTTCACTTGAAACTCAAAACTGACACTAGGAACAGCCTCATGAGTTCAGTAGAAGTAAGCTTTATTTGTAGCTTCTGCCTCGTTTGATGGCCTATCTATTCAGGGAAGCGCACAGTAAAAGACTTCTTCAGCATGATGTCTGTTTTGGTACCTCAGCAATTAATCTTTTCTAGAAATTATTATTCCAACCACTAGAATACCCTAGCCACTATTCCCACTTTGAGCATTAACCCCTTTGAAAAGAAACGAACTTAAAGTATCTCTATTTTGGCAAAATTCGGGTTCAGGGGCTGGATGGTATGTGTTTCTGCTGCCTTATTTAATCCACCACTTCTCTGTGAAACACTCTACCTTGTTTTTGGTTTGATTCTACTGACGTCAAGGTTTAGCCAGTAGCAGGTAGAGTTAAATTTGTCAATTCAGAAGAAACTGTGCTGGTCAGTCACATCTTAAGGCGAAGGGAGAGGGACCTTAGGGGAACAGAGAAGACAGGCAAAGCTGTGGACTGTTTGATCTTGTATTACCCACAGGAATGAGAGCAGCTAAACCCATAGAAGGAATTGGACCAAGGTGAATTACGAGTCCTGGCCCCAGCAGTATGTGTGCTGACTCCTGGGTGCCCCAGAAATAGAGCTCTCCCATGGAGTGGTGATATACAGCATGAGTTTCAGTTTGCATTGCAGCTAGGATTGAAAGGAATCAGTCATGAGCAGGCAGGCAGAAGGTCCTGTTAGCCCTGCCTTCCAGGAAGGTCGGGGTGGGAGTTTTGAGTGGGAAAGAGATGACATGCACGAAGAGAGTTCCCCTGAGCCTGTTTGCCAGGGACAGTGAGTGAGTGCTCTTGGGCACTGCTCAGGCCCTGCTTCTGCTGACTTGCCTGGCTTACAATAAATGCCTAATAAATATTTGTTGACCGTATGTGTCATACACTATGGTACCCTGTCCAGTCCCCTCTACCAAGCTGGGACCCCTCAACTCTTCTGCTCTGAGTTTGGGCTGCAAGTGCTCACAGCTCTTGTTCTCCGGAAACTGGAGAGTTACCCTCAGGAGATGAGAGACATCTCACCTTACCCAGGAGGCACCTCCTCTCTACAACCCAATGCCTGGTTCATTTGATTAAAGCAGGGAAAACCCCAGGGTGCTATGACTGCTCCGGCACCCTTGGATCAGGCTAAACTAGACTTTTTCTGAGCCTTCATCCATGCTCAGCTCTCTCCCTTCTCTATCCTGTTTCATTCCCTCCCTCAAAGGCGTTTCCTGAATAAATCACACTGTCAATCACATGGTTCTGAATCCCTGTCTCAGGCTCTGCTTTAGAGAACCTGATCTAAGACATTTGGTGCCACGAGTGGTCCTAGGAAGCTGCTGTGAGAGTGGATTGTGGAGTTGGTCACTCACCAGGAGGGAGTGAAGACTGCCATCACTGTTAATAGTCCTGGCATGTGGTACCTGTCCGGTCACTAAGTCGTTCACTTGGAAACTGGGATAGGATACAGGTGGAAAAGGATCTATTGACTTGTGGAGGTTGGGGACTAACAGGAAAATAAGGATTATGGAATTGAGTGGCTCTTGCTGAAAGTTACTGACTCCTTGAAGAGAAAAAAATGACAGGGCAAATAACCACCAATTTAATGCCAAGTGTGTGTCAGAGGACCTTGGTAGCTTTTTAGTATTTTTATAGACAGAGTCTTGCTCTGCTGCCCAGGCTGGAGTGCAGTGGTGCAATCGGCTCACTGCAGCCTTGACCTCCTGGGCTCAAGTGACCTAGCCACCTCAGCCTCCTGAGTAGCTGGGACTACAGGCACATGCCACCACGAGTGGCTAATTTTTAAAAAACATTTTTTTTTTGAGTGATGGTATCTCCCTATGCTGCCCAGAGTGGTCTGAAACTCCTGGGCTCAAGTGATCCTCCAGCCTTGGCCTCCCAAAGTGTTGGGATTACAGGCATGAGCTACTGTGCCTGGCCTTGGAATGATTCCTGAAAGCTTAGAAAAGTCAGTGGCCCACATTAAATGAAGTAGAGATGACAAAACCATGGTGGACTTAACAAAGGGATCCAAAGATTCATACATAAACTAGGATGGAACTAGAAGATAAGACCAAACAACCCACCTTCAGTTATGTTCCTTAGGAGGGTCTGGAGAGCATTCTGTTTACCAGGGTTCCAAGGAATGCCCTGATTGGGGGGCCATCAGCATCACTGAGAAGCTTGATACTGGCTATCCTCGTTTGCAGGGGCTGATTATTACATAACGTCACCCCAGACCATTCAGCCAGAGGTGCAGCAGTGGGCATGTGGCCATGGGGACCATTGTTTCTTTTTTTTCCTTTTTGAGACAAGGTCTCGCTTTGTCCCCCAGCCTGGAGTGGAGTGGCACGATTACAGCTCACTGCAGCCTCAACTTCCTGGGTGCCAGTGATCCTCCCACCTCAGCTTTCCAAGTAGCTGGGACCAGAGGCATGTGCTACCATGGCTGGTTCATTTTTGTATTTTTGGTAGAGACAGGGTTTCGCCATGTTGCCCAGACTGGTCTTGAATTCAAGAGCTCAAGCAATCTACCCATCTCAGCCTCCCAAAGTGCTGGGATTACAGACATGGGCCACCTCACCAGGCTATTTATTTTCTATTTTTGGTAGAGATGGGGTCTCACTATGTTGCCCAGGCTGGTCTTGAATTCCTGGGATCAAGGAATACTCCTGTCTCTGCCTCCCAAAAATGCTGGGATTACAGGCATGAGCCATCATGCTTGGTTCGTACACTCTTTAAACCAACAGCCATTAAAGGTGCTGTCTTTAATAGGCAGAATAAGGCCGGGCATTGTGGCTCATGCCTGTAATCCCAGCATCTTGAGAGGTCAAGGCAGGTGGATCACTTGAGCCCAAGAGTTCAAGATCAGCCTGGGCAACATAGTGAGATCCTCCCTACTCTGCCCCACCCTCTAGAGAAAATAAATTAGTTGGGCGTGGTGGTGCATGCATCTGTTCCCAGTTACTTGGGAAGCTGAGGTGGGAGGATCACTTGAGCCCAGGAATTCAAGGCTGCAGTGAGTTATGATTGCACCACTGCACTCCAGCCAGGGAAACAGAGCGAGACCCTGTCTCAAAAAATAAATAAATAAATGAAATAATGGGATGGTGTATCAGAATTCTTCGGCAGCATTGTGCCAATCTCCTTAAAACATTGGGGTGGGCTGGGTGCAGTGGCTCATGCCTGTAATCACAGCACTTTGGGAGGCTGAGGCAGGTGGATCACTTGCAGTCAGGAGTCCAAGACCAGCCTGGCCAACATGGTGAAACTCCACCCCTACTAAAAATACAAAAAATTAGCCAGGTGTGGTGGCAGGCGCCTGTAATCCCAGCTAATCAGGAGGGTGAGGTGGGAGGATCGCTTGAACCTGGCAGGCGAAGTTTGCAGTGAGTTGAGATCGCGCCACTGCACTCCAGCCTGGGTGACAGAGTAAGACTCAAAAAAACAAAAACAAAAACAAAAAAAAAACCATTGGGGGTGATGGTGAAAGCAAAGACTTTCAGCAGGAATTTTTGCCTCCTTAAAAATGAAGTCCTACTTTACTTCAAGTTTGGCTTGAAGCCAAACTATGCCCCTCCTTACCATGTTTCGTATAAATTCATATTGGCCATCCCTTATCAGGATACTAGCCTCTTTTTGACAACTCTTTCAGATCTGTTTGGTATGATTAGATATATGCAAATTACAAGTTGTCATAAACTGTATTCTCTTCTCCGCTACCCCCCCAAGAAGGAACTGTTGAAGTCCCAGCCCCCAGCCCCTAGTACCTCAGAATGTGACCTTATTGGAGATAGAACCATAGCAGATATAATTAGTTAAGACGAGGTCTCGGCGGGGCACGGTGGCTCATGCCTGTAATCCCAACACTTTGGGAAGCCCAGGTGGGTGGATCACTTGAGTTCAGGAGTTCGAGACCAGACAGGCCAATACGGCGAAACCGTGACTCTACTAAAAATACAAAACTTAGCTGGGTGTGGCGGGTGCCTGTAGTCCCAGCTACCCGGGAGGCTGAGGCAGGAGAATCGCTTGAACCTGGGTGGCGGACGTTGCAGTCAGCTGAGATTGTGCCATTGCACTCCAGCCTGGGCAACAGAGTGAGATTCTGTCTCAAAAAAAAAAAAAAAAAAAAAAAGACCAGGTCTTACTGGGATGGGACGAGCCCCTAATCCAAAGCAACTGATGTCCTTATGAGAAGCTGACTGTGTGGACGCAGGCACACAAGAGAGAAGGCCACATGATGGCAACGGCAGAGGCAGAGATGGGTTATGCAGCTGCAAGCCAAGGAATGCCAAAGATTGCCAGCAAACCACCAGAAGCTAAGCCAAAGTTTCCCTTGCAGGTTTCAGGGGGAGCATAGACCTGCTGACACCTTAGTTTCTGACTTCGGAACTCCAGTACTGAGAGACAATACATTTTTATTGTTTTAAACCACCCAGTTTGTGGTACTTTGTTACAGCAGACCTGGGAAATGAATGCACAAGTGTGTTCTCTCCTTTGTGAATATTAACATATTAAGGATTTTTTTTTTTTTTTTTTTGAGTTGGAGTCTCACTCTCTCGCCCAGGCTGGAGTGCAGTGGTGCAATCTTGGCGCACTGCAACCTCCGCCTTCCGAGTTCAAGCGATTGTCTTGCCTCAGCCTCCCAAGTAGCTGG